AGCCCTGCAGGCGTGCGCACATCTCTAACAACTCACTAACTCTAGCTCTAACTGTAGCTCGCTGCTGGACATGTGAACATCATTGTTCTAATATTTTGTTTAATTCCTCTGTTAGAATTGGTAAATTGTGCCCCGAGAGAAGAATATCCCCTGCCAGCCCAAATGACAACAGCCATTTTCACTCTGTCTTATGTTCTCAAAGTATTTGAATTTGACCATCAGTATGGGAAAGCAGAATAGCAGCCTTAAGCTAATATGCCTAAAAGCCGTTTAAGTATGATGAAGATGTTTCCCTTGAGTTGCCAAGCTAATCTCTAGCCTTTCCCACCCATTCTATAGGACGAGAGGAAATGGCCTCAAGTTGCGCCAAGGGAGGTTTAGATTGGACATTAGGAAAAATTTCTTTACTGAAAGAGTGGTCAGGCCTTGGAACAGGCTGCCCAGGGAAGTGGTGGAGTCACCATCCCTGGAAGTATTTAAAAGACGTGTAGATGAGGCGCTTAGGGACATGGTTTAGTGGGCATGGTGGTGTTGGGTTGACGGTTGGACTCGATGATCTTAGAGGTCTTATCCAACCGCAGTGATTCTATGATTCTATGATTCTTCCTTAACTGTTATCAGACAGCTGACTTTCTTCTGTCTTCCAAGATTATCCTCACAGATTGACTGAGTTGTTTCTCCTAAGTAGGTGAGAAATATTTGGTGTTCAACTGGGATATACTCACTGACTTGGAAAGATTCAAGGACAGTGTATATAGGGGATAGAACTTTTCATGGGAGGGAGGCATTTGATCTGTAAATACGGACTAGTCATGCTGTCTCAGATCACCATCCTGTAATGTGATTTGTTTTGTTAGTTGTTTCAAAGTAATATCAGGGATTCTTGGTTGTATTTCTAGGCAAGTATATGAAATAAAGTTTTTGGTATCAATGTTTTAAGTCCCTTCATCAGGGCTTGTTTTATTGCCTAAAATTCAACTACAACACAAAAAAGATAGCAAAGGGACATCTATCCCTTAGACTTTCTCGCAGTCAGGTGCAAAGATTCTCCTTACTGCTTGCTTTTGATCTTCCTTTTGCCTCTATACCATCTCACTACATGTGATAGCCTGCAAAACCTTTGCAAGATGCAGCTCTGTTACTTTTACTGCATCATCACAAACCAGCATTACAAAATAGTAGCTTAATTACAAATGTAAAACCAGCTTTTTCATACCAGTTAGTCATTGTTATCTGACACTATTGCAAGGACTCCAAAAAGCCAAAGATAATAAAGTCTTCTGTAAGCAATCCATAAGGCCCCTGCAGGACTGACATTTTCCATGTGTTTATTGTAGAAAGCAGCACAAGAAATCCTTGTAAATGTATTACCACTTGTCCACAGACCATTAGGAAAGAAAGAAGCTTTCCCCTACAATGGAGTGTTGACATCACTCTGTCAGGATTTCAGACTCTACACTAACAGCAAAATCAATATTGTGCACAACAATGGAAATAAAAGTAGAAGCTCAGCAGCTGTCTTCAGTTCACCATGGGTTTAGTCTTGTGCTTTTTGCTTCTTAACTCACTTTGTGGATGTAAACTGTATCTTTAGTGACATAAGTCCCTGTTTTAGCTGTTTATCGAGTACTTCCACTGGAACTGCTTTTTAGAAGTTACAGGTAGGTATAGCTTACTTGAAGAACTGCCAAAAAAGTGTTGTTTAAGTCTGTGTCAAATGTTTCTTTGTCACTTTAATCTAGAAAAAAAAGTAAGATGTTTCAGTCAGTGTTACTTTATAGATGTTCTGAATTATTTTAAAATAATAGATAATTGTGCCATTGCAGACATAACAAAAACCACCCTATATTTCAATAGATGAACTTAATACAGAAGTAAGATAAATATAAAAGCCTATATAATAAACTGTGAAATAAGATTGCTGAAATAACATTTTTAAAACTTACCAAAATGGAAATGAAATGGAACATATTCCATTCCAATCCCCCTCTCATTTAGGAAGGTCCACTATATTTTGGGGAAAAAAAATCAAACAGCTATTAATGTTTCAACAAAAAAAACCCCAAATTCTGGCCAGTACAGTAGTGAATTTGAGTCCCTAATCTTACACTTTGCAAGAGAAGTTATTTTACATTAAGACCTGTATAATTGCAGGTATACTTGAAAGATGGCTTAATATGGGCAGATGTACTGTAAATCTTTGTAAATATTTGATCTACCTATTGGGAGAATTAAAATTATTTAATACAAGTTACATATTTTCATAAACATTCATTTCAGTAGGGTTTGTGCTATTATAGCTGAAATTTTTAGTGCCTTTTAACTTCCTTTTGTTTTGAACTAAACTGTATCCAAGAAAAATTTTAATCTGCTTTACCATGGATGTTGTAGCTTAAATTTCCTCTGCTCAGAGCACTTTTTTTCAGAGTGTCATCACAGTTCAGCTAACAGTGTAGATGTATTGTGTCCTCTCATGTGCAACATCTGTGCATCTGAGGTGAGTTACTGATAAGAGAGACTGAGCCTGGCACCTCTGTAACTTCATGTATGATCTATTCCTGGCGTTAGAACTCTCAGTTCCATTAGCTGGGGTTGGATCTAGCAGCCGCTAGTGCAGAATATATGGAATTCATGTGCAGGTGGTTTAAAATACATACCTAAATGACAAAGAAGGTTATAAATTCACAGAGAAAATCCTTCTTTAGCTACCCTTTTTATTTCCATCAGGATACTGCTTGGATCACTGGATGTGATTTCCTACCTCAGCTGAAATGTGTCGTGGCTGTAACTGAAAGGACAGTCATCATCTGGGACTATAAATCAAAAGGGAGTCAGGTAGTACATTGGATCAGGCAAATGTTAAAGAGGAAGCCTGAAAAAGATTAGTCTTTGTTTTCAATGTACATTCACATTCCTTTTATCTAATAGGATGAAGTCATTAACTTTTGTCTTCGTAGGATCTCAGTGAAACAGTGGAATTTATACTAAGGAAGGAATACCCTTTCCACACCAAATGGGTTTATTAGACTGTCTTAAAAACTTGGAAGAAAGAGGAAAATTTTGTACTATGTTGCAAACAAATCCCCAAAGAATTTATTTTCTATGTATATCTAATGCATATGTGTGCACATGTATAGCTAACGTGTGTGCATGTGCATATGTGTATCTCAGAATCTATTAAGAATCAAGGGACAGGTCTCCCAAGGAATTTAACATATACTCCTTTGAGGTAACTTTCTGGTTTAAAGAAAATATTTCTTCATATCCTGCATTTCGTTCAGGACTTTCCAAGAGCAAAAGCATCTTGATGTTGACAGTGCATGTCCAAACAGTTTTTCCTGAAAGCCTTATTACAAATTATGATTTTTGCAAGGATTTCTGACTCATACCTTAGACTTTTCCTCCTGTTTCTGGGGCTTTTCTCAGCAATTCTGAGTTGGCTGAGAAGATTAGAGGAAGCAAAGTAAATATTTTAGGATAAGATCAAGCCTTGGGACTTTTTTTTTATTGCTCTCTCCCCAAGCTCAGACAGGTCAATGGAAGTCTTTCGGTCAGTCCAATTGGACTCCTGGGAAGGAAGGCGCAAAAACGTATTCTCCAGTCATTATTCTCCAGGTTTCCTCCAATCATTACATCAGTAAGAGTTGAAACTGTCCTATGGCTGAATAGGAGCAGTTCTCTTTTAAGACCACAGGAATAATACATAGACAGTTTTATGTCTGCGTTATGTCTCTTTAATGTCTCTGTGCTACACAGACAACATTGAAGCAGTTAATTCCTATGGCATGTGAACAGTTGCCAGTTTAGGTTGGCAAGGATGCTTTAATCAAATAACAGATGGAGTCAGGCAGTAGAATCAATAAACTCTATAATGCAGATGACCCAAAATCCCATTCTCAGGACTTCTCAGTCTAGCAAAATACCACAATGGCTTGCAGCTGTATTCATTCCCACTATCACAATTCCTGAAAATTCAAACACCTGCCCGTATAAGTACACTTGGTACTCCCAGGCTGTATTAATAATTAAGACTCTGATAGAATTTCTCTCTGTGTGTTACTGCGGCATTTTGTGGTTTGAATAATTCTTTAATTTGGCTATTTCCCATTTTCTTGTAGACAGCATCTTGTTTTTGAACAGGAAACCATATACAGTCTTAGCAAATATACCATCCCACTTAGCATGGTGAGATCCTCCCTAAAATTTGTAATTAGTATTTCCTTACTGAAATGGAAAAGGCTACCTATGAAATAAAGCCTCACTGAAATCCTTAAGGTTTGCATTTAACTTCTCTTGGTGATGATCTTCCATGAGTTTCTAATACAAGGAAACAGCTATCACAGGGGGAGCTTGAAAAACAAAGTCAAGAATTGAATGCTGATGTAAGTAGATAAGCATGATACACTCAGTCAGCTTAAGGGCTCATATGCAATATCTAATAAACTGTCTACTATATTTCACAGAATAATTGCTTTATCATCAAACCAATGGAAAATGGTCTGCTCTGTGTTTGCACGGCAACTATGTCAGATCACCTGGCTAAGGATAATATCGTAATGGGAGATGATAAGGGTTATGTTCACCTGCTTACTGTGACCAGTGATCACTTGGGATTGAAACAACGTAAAGGCAAAAAAGAATCACAACTTCAGGTTTTGGACCCCAAAACTTTTAACATGTAAGTTGCTTATGATAAAATATTAACAGTCTGGCAATTTTTTTTTAATTTGAGTTTTCTCTGGCCTAAATTGAGGATTACCTTTTGTGTATAAATTAACTCCACCTAACAAGGAAAATTTTTGAAACTGCAGTAAGTATGATTTGCTTGTTGTCATGTGAAGGAAATGCCATCATTTTCAGTAGGAGTTCTTACAAGAGATCTTACAACAGAGAGACTGCAGAGTAAAATTTCAGGGAAAAATTCACAATTGCTGTTATCTAGTTTGGCATAGGCACAGCTTTATTGTGCCCAATTAGATGGAAGCATAACTGCTAGTAGAGAAGTGCATGATTCAACCCTAACTTTAGCTCTGCTTGCTTTTGAGCTGGAAGAGTGGTTCTGTATCTGTCCTGGATATTAAATGCTAGCACTGGTTGTGTATAATCTCACTGAGACAGATTGAGGGATACAATCCCTATCCTATATTACAGTAGATGCAAGTGTATGCTAATAACATCTCAATTTATATCCCTAGTGTTAAACGCAAGCTACATGATGACTGGGTTGTGAAAGTTAAGTATATTTCTGACCTAAATTGTTTTGGATCCTGCTCCTCAGATAGCATTCATTCATTTGTTTTGGATGACATAAAGCGACTAGAGGACAACTTGTAAGTATATGACATCTTCTGAAAAAATAGACCTTTTGCTTTATAACTCTGCATGAGATTAGTGCCTTGCAAGATGCCATCCTGTTGTATTGAAGCTGTCTTTTCTATCAGCATTGTTAATACAAACAAAAATACAACTACTTAAATACTTGAACATTTTTGTTTGCTAGATTTTGATGTAGGAAAGGACTGGCCATATATGTTCATTACTCACAACCCTTAAAAATATGTTATGTTGGCAGTCTTGTCTGCTCCAGCTTCTCCTCAGCAGCCAAATTTTAGTTAGATAACTGATTTCTTTGTTACATGTATATCATGTATCCATTCATTTAAAATTTATATCCATACAGAAATATATTCAACTAAGTTTCATTTACAGTTTCAGCTTCACAAGTTTCAGTTACACCAGCTTAAACCAAGAAAGCAATTTATTCTGAGGGCTGTGGAATGGATTTACTATGCAGCACGAAAGGGGTTGTAGCGTCCTGATTTGTGCCATATCATTCATATGGCCCATCAGTGCTATAGCTGATTCCAAGCCTTCCTAGTCTGCGATTTTAGAAGCGTTTATAGCCCAATTAAAAAATAAATAATACAAACACAATTTGATGTAACAAGGAACTACAAATAACGTATAGATAGAACTTGTCATTCAAATATCTCAAAGCATTGTAAACGTTAGATCAGCTTCACAATTCCTCTGTGAGGTACATCCAGAGATTAATAGATTTTTAAGGCTAGTAGCAACAATTATGATGATCTGTTTTATCTCTTGTATAACACAGGCCATAAATATTCACATAGTAATTCTTGCATCAATCCAATAACTTTAGGTTTTATGAGTATTGCATGTCTGTTGTGGATGGGGAAAGTGAAATATGAAATAATTATAGCTTGTCCAAAGTCACATACTGTGTCAGGAGAAAAGCTGAGAAATCCTATTTGATTTTGCTGGGAGTTTTGGAAAAACAGAATTAATTTAAGGAGAAAGGAAAAAAAGAGCGAAAAGTATAGTCAAAAGAGTATATGCTATCACCATACACTGTTTGTTATACAGAACATTAACTGCAAATGTCTTGGTAGGTCTTTTTCATTTAACACTGACTATAATTGTGTCTCCAGTTCCAATAAATACATTTCTTTAAGCAGCTTCATGCAGAAGCTAAATGAAATTATATTTAGACAACTGAAAAATTACACAGCTGTTAAAATGAAATTAATAGCCCTAAAAATAGCTATGGATCAAATCACTTTGAAATGCCCATTCCATAAGTAATTATGGTTGAAATATATGATTTACTGGTGCTGGCAAAATAAATTTCCCCAGTTAACTTCACAGCAACCAATTGTTATTGTGCTTGAAGAGGGATGCAATGTATCTTGTCTTGTATGTGACTCTTAAGTTTCTTTGTGGATAATGGCTGATGAGCTGTTATAATCTTTTCTTGTAAAGAATCTAAAAAAAGGGAGGTGTGGATGGGATCACCAGGTGCTTTTGTTGCAAGGCTATGACTTGGGAAGGACTTCACACTGCTGAAACCTCTTAATCACACTGACGTTAGAGGAGTATCAAGACTGTTTATTAAAGAGCCAATAAGCAGTTATATAGAAGTATTAAATTTAAGAAATAAAGGAAAAAGATGATAAATTCTGATGAAATCTGCCAATCACACATTTAAATCAATTACTTGCTATTTTATACCATCAAGAGAATTAAGACTCCTCTGTTAGAGCTCTGGAAAGAAAGCTTTGCTCCCTCTAAGTAACAGGGAGTGAACAGCCTTTTACTTACACCTGCCTAGAAAGCACAAGCTCTTTCATTAATCCTCAAAGTTTCCAGAGTCTTTTGTCAAATTTACTGTCATCCCCAGTTATGGTTTTCAATATCAATGGTTACTGTCTAGCCCAGAATAAATGAAAGACCTACTTGTCTAGATTTAAAAAAAAAATTTAAATGTGTACTCATTTAATTCTGTATAGCTTAATTACACTGACAGTGGGAGAGATGGGTGTTAGCCATGCTATTGCTCACTGCAAAAATCAAGAAAATATTCACTCATTAGTAGCAATGTATGAAACGTGGAAAGATAAGCAGAAGTTGCTCAAAGAATGAGTTTAGAAGGGACACTGAGTCAATCTCAGTCTGTGTTGGTTTTTTTAATTCCTGTGCTTTTGCAGTGAATGCAACAGAATAATTCAGTTGAGTTTAAGAAACTTGCAGTCTCTTCATGTTATTATACAACACAAAATAGATAAAATAAAGACTGCATTATACAGTACATTATACGTAAGCAGCAGAAAAGTAACTGCACTTACTTTGTGCAAAATAGAGGCCACAATAGACCTCCATGTCCAAAACAGGCAAAGGCAGTTGGTTTGATACTTTTCCTCAGTGATGAGCTGCTTTAAGCACGCAGACGTGTGTGAAGCCTTACTTTGGCAACAACTACCATTTTAGGATTCTGTTTGGAGTATGATAAAGGATTCAGGTGTTCAAATCAGAGATTTATTACTTTAATGGAAAGTGTACCCTGTTCCCATTTTATTGATGCTAGTATCTAAGTCACTGTTATAAATCAATTTGCTTTTAATAAGAGATTGTATATATTATACATTATGCAAACAGCTATTCTATATACTATAGAAAAGTAAAGTGGAATGACTGTAGTCTGTATTTTCCTAATGTTTCTTACCTGATTAACTGTTTTATTAATGACTACAGACCTGTAAAGGAATTTTCTGTCCCTAGAGGGGTCAATGCCTTCACATACTGTGGAAAAGCAAAAGTCATTGTCACGGGTGGTAAGTATTGGGTTTTTTTCCAAGAGATTGTTCTGTTGCAAATTTTTTTCCCAGTGAAATAAGATCAAATAACGCTGATTTAGTATCTTAAGAATTTAAATAATGGCTTCTGTCTTAAATGATAGGAAACAGAGGTCTTGCTTTTAATTGCTGGGAGCCTCACTCTGAAAAGATACAGTTCCTGACAGGAATCTATCAAGGGCGCAGTCTGAGTTTGATTCAAGTATCATGTTACTTATATAATAAAACAGGAGAAACAGTATGTTGAACTACTCTAAGGCACCTTTCCAAGTCACGATGGCAACTGTCTTGGCCAGGTTATACACATTACTCCTTGCAGTATCAGCAGGGCTCCCATCCTTTTCTATTACTCTTTGGCCATCCTTTCCTGTCTCAAGCAATTATGTTGGCCCATCTTAATACTTTCCATTGCTCTTCTCTCTGATCACATTTCCCCAAAACTTTACTGTTTGTTCTTTCTCCCAAAGGAGACTGCAGAAATAGCGCTCTCATCCATTTCTTCCCTGTTATCCAATAATTTTATGAGCCTTTCTATTGCAGTGATCATATTTCATGCTGCAGAAACGTGGCTGGAGTATGGCAGCAGTCTTGTTTGTATATTCTGTCTGACAGGGTGGTGCCCTGGAGAGACATCGATGCTGCCTATCTCCAAGTCTTCATACGAGAGTCTTGCTTAAAACTTTGTTAAAAAATGTTTTGGAAAATGTATCACATAGCAATTCTTATGTGTATATTTAACAAGAAGAAAAAAATGGCCAAGGCTTTGCTGTCCAGCCTTGATAATACGCAAGATGGTGAAATAAATTTGGAAAAAAAAAAGACCTAGACACGGGAAAGTTGAATTGTAACGGTTTACCAAAGAGAAAACTGCGACAGGTATCAAAATAAATATCAGACAGTTCTATTGATTTTCTAGACACAAGATTTAAAGGGAAAGCAATAGGATTATAGGAAAGTTATTAGTGAAAATTCTGAAGTTTAGCATTGGGGAAGATCTTATTTACATTGATTACCTTGTCACAAAAAGTAGTCTGGAGAAATTTACTGATGACATAAAGTAGGGAGGCCCTACAAAACAGAATGTGGTTAGTGTTTCCTACAGGTAGAACTGGAGGATTTTACTGTAGTAATAAAAATAGGGTGAAGTGTCTGAATAGGACAGAAGGTCAGTTACACAGGAATTAATACAAGTTTCTGTTAGACACTGAAAATTCTTCTTATAGAAATAGCAGAAGAAGAGAAAAATCTGGATAAATTTCCTAAGAAAATAACAATAGTTGTGGTAGGCCAGACCAAAGGTCTGCCTAGCCCACTATCCCCTCTGACAATGACCAGCAATAAACACCTTTGGCAGAGTATAGGAATAGGGGCAATCATGCAGCAATACTTGCCCCAGGTACCTGTGTTAGTTGAAATATCTGTTCTGCAGGTAACAAAGCATTAACTTCTATGAATTTGACATTAGTAAAACTTCATGTTGTACTGAAATCTACTATATGGTTGATATGAGGCATGTTTGAGAAAGATTAGTTAATATGGAAAAAGAGTGGGGGAAACCTATCACATACAGACTAAATCTATCACACAGAGACTAAAAAGTGTATTTTCTATATCCTAGCAAAATGACAATTAACAAGGGATACCATTGCTACCTATAAAAATATCAGGAGAACAAATATCAGGAGAGCAAAAATTAGAGCAGTGATGTTCTGGAAGAGTCATAGAATCATAGAATCATAGAATCATTAAGGTTGGAAAAGACTTCTAAGATCATCAAGTCCAACCGTCAACCCAACATCACCATGCCCACTAAACCATGTCCCTAAGCGCCTCATCTACACGTCTTTTAAATACTTCCAGGGATGGTGACTCCACCACTTCCCTGGGCAGCCTGTTCCAAGGCCTGACCACTCTTTCAGTAAAGAAATTTTTCCTAATTTCCAGTCTAAACCTCCCCTGGTGCAACTTGAGGCCATTTCCTCTCGTCCTATCGCTGGTTACTTGGGAGAAGAGACCAACCCCCACCTCGCTACAACCTCCTTTCAGGTAGTTGTAGAGCGCGATGAGGTCTCCCCTCAGCCTCCTCTTCTCCAGGCTAAACAGCCCCAGTTCCCTCAGCCGCTCCTCATAAGACTTGTTCTCTAGACCCTTCACCAGCTTCGTTGCCCTTCTCTGGACACGCTCCAGCACCTCAGTGTCCTTCTTGTAGTGAGGGGCCCAAAACTGAGTAGTGGCAGTTGCAGAAAGAAATATCCTTCTCAGTTTAAAATGGAGCTTGAAATTTTTTTAAAAGGAGAGATTGCATATTTGATGTGATGGTTGGAGGCTAGACTGGGAATGCAGGACCTCCTATCCCATCTAAACAGCTACCTAATCAGAGTATTTTAAAAGGAAATGAGCTTTCTCAACATTGCGTTTTAATGTCTTGACTTTCACTGCACGAAAGTACAGAAAACATGGGCAACATGACAAAAGTTTAATAATATTGTGTTCAAGGACTGTGTAATGATGATTTTGAAGAAGTACAAGAATTGTACTTCTAACAATCTTCCAGTCTGTTCCTGGATCATAACATTCACATACCCTTGATTTGGAATCCTGTCTTGCTTGTTCACCCACTGGTCTTCATCTTGATATTAAAAGGCATTCTCCTACCTCTCACTCTCATTCCCAGTGCTTAGCCCTGCTACTTCCCTTGAACACAAAAGGAAATTATTCCTGAGATGGATTACTAAGAGCCACAGAAAAGAGTGGGAATGCATGGCCAAAGACAATGACAGGGTGGGATCATCTCTTTCAATTTCACTATGAAATTTATATCAGCCAGGGGCTACTATGAAGCTGAACCCAAAATTAAGAATAATCCTTCAGTGCTTGAGAGATCCATCTACTAAAGTCTTTAGAAGTTGAGCTTTAGAGTTCAGTGCTCTATTAATAAAATACACTGCTCACAATGGCACAGCAGTCAGTCAGACTAGAGCATGCTATGTTTGCCTCTGTATCTTCAAAGCCATCCCTCTCTCTTGTCTGGCTGAGAAACACATGTTGATGATCCAGTTAATGAGAGAATTAAACTGTTTCAAATGAACATAGGCTAGTCTTGTTGATTAGCAAGCCTGCAATTTTACCTGTAATATACCCTAAATATCAAAGACCAGAGCAGTTAAATAGTTCAGGAATCATAATATATAGATTTCTTGGTGACGTGCAAACATTTGTAAAAAGTATGTTTATATGTCACATCCAGCAATTAAAAAAAAAAATAAATCCAACCTTTGATCGCAGGCTAGCTTCTAAAGTATTCAGTGAGGATAAATCTGCTAACCACTTTACTAAGCCCCAGTCTATTGTTATTTAGCCAGGTGTTTATAGCACAAATGGTATGCAAAATACCACAATGTATTATTACACTAGGAAATGACTATTTAAAAAGTCATGTTTTAACACCCTTACTCTTCCACAATTTATTTGTTGTATTTGAATATGCTCATGAGTTTGCCAGTACTGTGACACAGCCTAATTTTGTCTTCCAGATATTTGACATTTACAACATAAATAAGAAAGATACAAGCAAACCTGGTACAGAGTTCACTTTTCATACTAAAAGCTAAACTTCTTCAACCAATAAAATTATAAAAGCCTGATAGTGGCCTAAAATATGGAGCCCATAGTAATTTAGAATAACATTTCTGTGTAGCATTTTGCATTAATATTATGTTGAATGGTAAAGTGATATGATTTTCCTCTTATTCTGTATCCATTTCAATTCCAGCTATGTCTTAATCATCACCTCAGGGAATAGCTACAGTTAAAATCAAATTATGTATGCATATAAAAGCTGGAGATGATCAGTTTTAAATTATATGATACATCAACTTCCAGCCCTATTATTTCTTCAAATCTGGCTATTGTTCTCCTGTGAGCAATAAAGTAGAAGAAAAACTATTATTGATTTCTAAATCTAGCAGTAACAGCTTAAGACTGATAAAAAGAAGTCCTTTGTGCTTGCTCAGTATCCTTTGTGTATTCCTGGCACAAGTGACATAACTGGTAACATCTTGTCTCTTTTTTTTGTTTTTGAACTGGCACTATACTTGGTATTGACATTTTCAGGAATTCCCAGGAATCCTAGTTATAGAAATCATATCCCAGGACTCCACTAATACTAGCCCTCACAAGCATAAGCAGACTTTTTTCTATGATGCAGTCTAAATTTAAGAAGAACATGTGAAGGCAGACAAGGCAGCACAAAAAAAGAAAAAGACATTGGTCAATATGATAAACATACGAACTTGTGCTAGTTTACCAGATGTCTAACTGTTCTGAAGACGTTTTGCAGACATTATAACCCAAGATTATTTAAAAGACAGGCTTGAAGGAATGATGAGTTTTAAAGAATAAGGGGTCCTTCTGTGTGCAAGGACCAGCATAGAAAGAAACCAGGAGTTATATTTTTCTTTTCTAGTTTATCAGAGGATGCCAAGCTAAGCCTAGCTTTTTTTCCATTCAAAAATGCTGTTGTTCTCAAGGGGGTTTCAACACCACTGAAATGCAGATGTCTCAGTAGACTTGTAATACCGCACAAATTGCAAAACTGTATAAGCAAGGGAGACAATTTGACGAAAGATCACATGTTCAAAGAATGCATTGGAATCCGTAACATCTAGCTAGAAGAGAGCTGTGGTCATAGAATCTGACTTTTTAAAAAACCCTAAATACATGCTTTCATAATTATTTATCTTGGAATGGAGAACACCGAACTGAGCCCATTATGATTCAAATCATTGATTTCACAGAATCTTAAAAATTTGCTGTCTGATATGTAGACAGATAATTCATCTTCTTCAAGCTTTTCTTGAATGTGCTTAGTACCCATGCCTTCTATGTCAGGATTCTCAATCCTAGAGGCATATTTGGAGCACAGAGAGAATAAATGTTCCAGCAAATGTTCCAGTGAAGCAGTGAAGCAGCGAATGTTAGGGCCAATCTGGCATTAGTCCAGAAAAAGGGGAGAGAACACATCTTCTATAACCAAGTCCACCATTATCTCAACATCAGTAAAAGGAACAAAAAATAATCCACTATTTCACATAAGAAACAAACAGCATTTTTAAGCAGGGAAAGGTTTTCTTTCTAGTGACACTTGTTCTTCCTGTTAATATCTTAAGTAAAGAACATGCATTAGTGATTCTATTCTTGAAAGAAACTCTCTGTGCTACAATTAAAGAGCACTATCCTCCCCTCCATTCATCTGCCATCACCTCAGGAATATAAAGAACAGAGCAATTAGGAAGGCTAAGAAAGGTCCTGTTCCTCAAAAGCGCAGCAAGTAGGTAGTTGAGTTGGTCAGTTACTATCAACAGCTTCTACCTAGTTCACTGTCATTTTAAGACATGACAGTTTCCATTTGGGGCTGCTAAAGGGCATGTTGTTGAAGCAGTGTCTGTTCCCTCTGATTATAACTGATGTTACCAGTCTCAGCGGAAGCTACTGTCTACCATATTTCGTGTCCTCCAGTTGACCTCATGGAAGACCTGCAAGCTGAGTTTTACTCCCATGGTCTTGTTTCTCAGTAATGTATACTGGCCTGGTCACAAGGGTTCCGCTAACTTACAGGACATGTCTACGACAGCCTAACACAACACCTGGGGAAGTGAGCAGGGGTCCAGCATCTTCTGCAGTTTCCCCATCCAAAAGGGCTTCACAAACCTCTTGTGCAATTACAGCCTTTTTAAGCTACTTCCTGCCATGCTTACAGCATAGACAGCTAATCTAGAATAGTTTTGCCTGAAAGTGCCCCTGAAAAGAAGTTACTATTGGTCAGCTACTTATCCTTGGCTCCCTTTCCTATGCAGAAGTTATCCCTCCATTGTGCCAGTACAGCTGTTTGCATGTTTGCATTCTCAGTCACACTTGTGAAATGATCTGGCATAAACCAAAATGACTTTCTGTTGTAGCTATTTTAAGAGTAGACCATTTCTCCAATGAGCCTCTCTCATTTAGAGAGGGGCTACATAAACAATTTGCAATCAGTGCAATCAGTTTAACTGAGAGGACAATAATGTTTAATGGAGGACAAGGGAGATGGGATGCTCCTAAATGAAGCACATATTGCTGTATTAAGAAGGAAAGGAAGAGATCTCTGTAGAGAGAGAGGGAGGGACTGACCAATGACAGTAGGTTGAACAAATTTAAGGAAGATCCCTGGAGAGCGGACTGCAAGCGCTGACTTTTAACTCTTCTCTTTTTTAACAAAACTGAGCCAAGCTTCACAGTCTTGAGGTTTCGTGAATGCTTTTTTGGGGCATGTACTTCCTAGTGCTTTCTGCACTTCACTTTAAGCCAAGAGAAAACTAAAACTCAAACTGAAGTCTAGATAAAATATGGCTGTTTCATTTATTGTGTGCAAGAGTGTTCAGCTAATTGCATACAATTCATATATTTGCAATATTTGCCAGGAATTGAAAGTTAAAATATCAATTAATTAATGTCAAATTTAAACTGGACTCATGTTCTCTTGAAACTCATGTGAAAAATATTTCAGAGCACTAGGTACAGTTATGGTTGCATCAGTATGTAAACCCAGGAGCTGACTAGTACATTTTTAACATCTTTGTGTTTTGAAATATTTATGGAAACTATTATGAAAATAGTACCAAAAGATCCATCTATAATGCAGTCATTTATTCCCTAAATTGTAGGTAAATTTAATGTTTGAACATACAAATAAATATGAAAGACCTAATTCTCATTTACTTCAAGATACAAAATCACTCATCAGCAGTTATTGTTTCCTCTCTGCCCTCAACTTCTGTGTCTGCTCCCCTTCCTGTTCTGCACGCCCCCCCCTCTTCCATAGAGGTGGTCATCCCTTCATTTCCTGGTTAAGTGGACATAAATATCGTTTTGACATTTTTGTAAATTAGATCTTTGAAGGAAAAAAATCTGAGCCCTAGTTCCATTTCTAATAAAATATTCTGCTTCTATGGGACTAGCGCATGTAGTCACATCCAGTGTCCCCAACATTCGTCTAGCAAAATAAAAAGGCTTTGAAAGGCAAATCAGTTATGTGGTTTTAATACAAGTTTGGGGATAAGCTGGAATCCAGCCCTTAGAATGAAAAATTCACATACTTATGTGGGAGTTGCCTACATGGTGAAAGCAGAGACTTATCAACATTAAGTTCTCCATTATTAAGCTTATTTGTAATACCAGTGACTGTTCAGTCTTTCTGGCTATAAATGTTTTTTTTTTTCTTTCAGGTCGTGACAAACTGCTTCGTTTGTGGCATCCTGCTATTAATAGTAGGCCTACAGGGAAGCTATCAGGACACCAACATACTGTTGTGGAAATTGTGACAAATGAAAAAGATCAACATGTCATCAGCCTTTCCTCTGCAAAGGTAAACCACTTTTCTTAACTTCATGGAAATCAATGATATAAATGCAAGTAGGAATCTGTTTTTGAGAAAGTACTTCTGACTGTATCTAGTCCTAATCTCATTGCTTATCAGTTCTTTTATTTTAATAAATTTATTTATTTTAATAAAAAGGTGGAGTTTTAGCTTAAAATTTCCAAATTATTTTATATTGAGAAGCAAGATTAGAATGGAACTATTTGAAATATTTTCTTTCTGAATGTGACAAAAGAATACTTACAATAGTAGATATTAACATTCTGGTAATTTCCCTATTACTTTGGCAACTGCCAGAATTATAACATAACCTGTACCTGAATGCTTCATTCAGTAGTGATCACCTGCAAAAACTTCCTACTGCTTCATTTACCCTTGTCTCTGGCTGTCAGCCTACTAAATTCATAGGTGGAGTTTTTCTTACACTGGTGACTATACATCATGTTCAACTATTGACCTCTTTCTGAAGAGTGTTTTTTACAAGGCTTACTGATCCAAAACATTGTCAATGGACAGGAATACTAATAAAATCAATAATAAAGCTTCTTCAACCAAATACTGCAAGATTCAGCTGGAAATGGATAGTTTCCTTTAAGTTATTAGTGGAATCATGGCATCAGTGGTTTATCTCATTTGCCAAAATGAGACTGTTCAGGAGAGAATAAAAACTTCTAAAAATATGTTCAAAAATAAATGAGAAGCCCCTGAAGGAGCAGTTATGAATGGCTATTGGAGCTCTTTCAAGAGTCGTCCTATGCAATATTTTCAATATTCAGCAGTATTCAATATTTTCGTTAACATCTGCAATGATGGAAAAGAGAGCATACATACTAAATTAACCAGTTGCCCCAAACTGGTTAAGGCTGCAGGCCCTGGGCAGAAGTATTAGAGTTCAGAATGGTCATTAAAATTGAAGGTATGATCCGTGGAAAATACCTCCTATAAAATAATAAGGACCTAATATAGTTAGTCTATTGAGATATCCATCTATCTCAAAGGTTTCCAGCTTTTTGTTGGGTTATGTAGGAAATATTATTGAGCTATGTATTCTGTCCGTGCCGCTCCTTTGCCATAATTGCTTACTGCTGCTCATTGAGGTGCCAGTAAATACCACATTTTCATGTCTTTAATCCTATTCTTAAAATAACCCACACCCTTCTAAAAGTACTACTAGCTGAAAATGAGTCATCAGAAATCTCCCATCTTCACCTAATCCTGGAGCCATAACCATTCCCCCTTCCTCACTCCTATAAATCTATACCTGAATGTTCTGTTGGTAACTCTGTACATGTACTACAGGTATACATTACTGTTGAATTAAGGAGGGTTTTGACAGATAGCTTGCAAGCTATACATGTAGGAAAAATGGAATAAGACATAAGACATGACTTAAGGCGAATGAATGTACATGAAGATATTTATAGAAAAGCAACTAAGAATGAAGCCCCTGGGGCAGTAAATGACAAAATAAGATCTCTTAAGGTCCCTTGTGGGCCTTTCTGTGATTCAATATGATAACTTAGAGGGAAGCAAAATCTATTTTACAAGTCTCCAAGTATGTGGCCACTTGATCTTAACTAAATGTAGTGGAGTTGTGCCAATGACTTCAGTAAGATCACTTGTACATGAAAATGAATATATGAAAGTATGTTTTAATTAAAAGCTATGTGTCTTTAAACAGCACTGTGAATTATAAGGCAGAAATTACACTTCTCAAAAATTAAAAGAAATAGAGATAAATTTCTAGACTTTCAAAAGTCAGGTAAATCTTGCGGTCATAGTTGAAAACTATATCAAAAAAGAAGGGATCCCTCACAGAGACGTCTAAAGGACTTACAAATAAAGTGACGATCACTCTGTGCCTCAAAGAATTTACAATCTGTAGATGATACATGGTATGCACAATAGCGGAGGAAGGTCAGCTGTAACAGGATTGCTTCCAGCCCAGTTAAAACACATTTGTGTTTTTATAGGCAAGAACCAGGTATTATACAAAGGTGTACAACTTCCCACAGAACGTTTAACGTTACATTAAATACATAATTTGTTTCCACCTAAAAAACAAAGACCAGTTTGCTTAATCTGCCTAGCATAAGAAAAATCAAAATAGTTTTCTCCATTTTGTTTTCATCTTTCAGTGACTGTGATATGAGGCCACTGAAGTAAAACAAGGAGACCCTATATATCTTCACTGAAAATAAGTTAGAGAGATATCAATGATCTCATGGAAGCATTGTAACCAAGAGAAACAAAATATCTGTATATTCAACAGATTTTGCATTAGCTGTTTGACAGAATAGCAAAACTAGGGAAAAGTTTAGGAAAATTAAATTAATACCTTTTCTGGACATTGCCAAAATTAAATTTAACCTAAAACATGTAAGGTATTCATATTAAAATAAAAGCTTTGTTATCGTGCCATTTTTCAGCTGAAAATACAGAACAAGGTAAAAAGTAGGGAATATTTTTTTTTTAATTAAGATTTGTAATTGTGATATTACCACATTTGAAGGCTCAGACTGATTTTATAATTTATGGCTATTTTTCTTGAACTATATTGAAAATTTTCTTGACTTACTGTAAAGATATTTTTACACTATATAAATTAAAAAGCTTCAAAACAGCATCATAAAGGTAAGCCTAAGTCTAATGCACTAGGGAAATATTTTCCTCTGATGACAGAATCTGAAGGAAGATTGTAGTATTTCTCCTGTCACTGTCAGGTTAAACACTATGTTCTTTAGGTAGATGTGTATTCACAGACTGGGGTATTCTTTGTACTGTCAAGGCCTCTATCAGAAATGCAGTAAATTTCTGTGTATTCTGTGTATTTTTTGTTTCCATTTCCTTCAGGAAGTGAGATGTGAATGACAACAGCATCATCTTCCCAGTCAAGTTTAGTTTCTTAATTCTCACCAGGCATAGATAGTCCTTATTTTCTGACATAAGTGACTTTAGTGAGAAAGTTATAGTTTCACAGGTGGACAGTCATAGCTTCTATCAGAGAACCAGGGGAAGTTAAAGAAAGATGGGAAATTTTTATAGATCATACAGGAAGAATACAAAAACCTTACATGTTACAGTAGATAAACTTCTCACTATTTTTAGCTGTTCTTTAAAGGACTTGAGAAATAGATGATACAGAAATTATTTATTAAACTTTCACTAGATTTGCACTTTGTACTCATGAGACCTCGCCTTGGCATGAGCCACTGCTGTATTTTGTGGAATAATATGCATGTCAGAACTGAGAAACTGTTTTGTATCTGTCCTTCTCTACCTCCATCACTTCTCTTGTAAGCAGACACATGCTGATGATGTTCAGTACTGTGGACTCAGTGGATCCTGTGGGCATCCCACATCTTTTCTGCTGCAAGCAGAAGAGACCTTAATTGCTAAAGAGATAGATTATACCTGTTAAAATAATTTTTCAAATGTTTTGAGATTTGGGTAATATGTTAAATGTCCTTGCCTTTGTTACGGGCCCATGGGTCAGACAATGGGAAGGGCTGGACAGTGGGAATAAGGGATATTCCTGTGAAATATATTTAGGAACTTTTTAGAGAAAAAATTTCCCGAACCATTTTCTTGTTTAAGTTAGATTGCATATATTGCACTTAACTTCTGGCTTTCACTCCCTAGAATTGTAACACATAATTTCCTATGAACTGTTACGTATTACTTTATGAAGAACAACAAGAGTTAATGTTGGATAGATGGCTTTTAAGATATTATGTGAGCTACATTCCCAGGGACTAATATCCATGGAGGTAGAAAGCTAGAAAGCGTATTCTTCCTGACTGTATTTAAGAAAATCAAATAGTCCGTCTTTTGGTAGTCAGTTTTCTTTGGTATGTAGTCAGTTTTCTTTGGTATGTTTTGTACATAGTATTAACTGTCTATATTAACAAAGTCTAAAAATGTTTTGAAACAAGGATTAAGACAAAGAATTTTACTACCTTGCTTTGCCCTCATTTGACCTCAAAGGACTTTTAAGACTGAAAAGCCATATACAAATGTACTCACAAGAATATCTCCAGAGTTCAAAAGTAAGGGATCACATTGGCTTTTGGTTTCAGACTTGTCCTGCAGCAAAGATTTGCAGTCTGAAGATCTAATGGCTGAGTTAGGAGGTTCAAAAACTCTGTTGAATGGTTTTAAAGATACCACAAATGTTACACATCTTTTACAAGAGTACTAGGGGATTCAGTTGATGGTATTAGCCTTACTTTCATACTATAGAACATGAATGTATGCTGTAGTTTATACAGAAATGTAAAAATGAACCCATCCTACACCATGGTTTCACAGCACTAGTGCAAAAAAATAGAAATCACAGGGGATTTGTATGACAGTGGAAGAGCTAGTTTACAAGATTATTAGCTCTAATAGTCCTAACATCCCAGAGCATGGAAAACAAAGAGTGGAGCCCAGGAAAAGGGGAGGGAAGCATCAGTGTGCTAAGGAAGTATCAAAAGAAACATCTCATGCAACACAATAGCCAAGATACAAAACAAATGTTTCTGTGAAGAGAACAGTATGATCGTGCAGACCTGAAATCAAAAACTAAAACTCCATATAGAAAAAGAGTTGTCTTTGTTTTGGAAGTGCAAGTGTTCTTCAGAACCAGTAAGTTACTTGTAACTGCATGCTAGATTAAAGGCAATATTGAAGTTATCCAAGAAGTTTAGGAAAGCAGACATAAATAAACTCTTTTGTATTACGCTCATTTTTAAGACCTTCTCTTTAACTGTATGTCAAAAATTGTAAATAGAAGTAAGTGAAAGATTTTTAACACAAGGGTCAGTATTATGCACTGAGGGAGATTATTCCAGTGCCATAACTTAAATGAGGAAGTACATTGTTGCCTTTTTGTTATAAGGCCTTTTAGCATATGTTTTATTTGTACTGTGTGCAAGGAATTGGTTTGATCACTGCAAGTATTTCAGGTGTTTTCTGAGGCTGCAATTTTTGCTTCTGAAGTCTGC